CAGCTCAACAAAAGCTTAAAGGATTGGACCTTATTTTTATACCACTAGTATAAAACCTGACATTGAAGATACAGAAATAACTCTACAAATATCCACTTTATCTTTTTATGTTAATTTTCATAAAGCTGCTAGCAAAAGACTGGGTAAGTATAGGTAACTTAAAGTAAACGGGAAGCTATCAACGCAGTAATTTTTAAGAGTAAATTGGGAGTAATCTATCGAGGTTCAACGCAGGCGGACTAGGCTTAGTGCAGCTACCAAATGACTAACTAATATTGTGAAGCTACTTGTTGGGGACTCAGCCAGTTTTAGAATGTTCGTATACCGCGAAAGAAATTCGATCGCAACTGATTCATGATTGATAATAAGTGACGGGTTGATAACCAAAGCAAACTTGCAATTTAACTTGTTTGAGACATTGAGTATCTCGGCAACTGCTGTAATTGCAATGTCAGTGACGATGAAGAACCTCTCCTCTCCTGTCACCAACCACTGTGAGATTTAACCTGAATTATATGATATGCATTAACTTTGAACTTGTCTACTTTTTCTCAAGAAATACCTGAACTTATCGATAAATCTGTCACCTTGAAGACTTTAAAAGGAAAGTATTGTGTACCTTTCACCTCAGAGAAAGTTATCACTGCTTCCCCTTTATCGTTGTAATAGATTTCGGAGACATCGCCTCCTCCTGATCGTCTAGAATTTTCAAAGTAGAAAATCAGTACTTCTTTTGGGGTAAAAGACGGGATGTCGCTAACATTAATGGTGATGCCATCTTCCTCGTCATAGTCCTCGTCTTTATTTTCACCGAATTCGATGGCACTTTCGTCCTCCTTTACAAACGGCGAGACTTGAATTCTTGCTCCGCTCAAAACGTGAGATGGATGATTTATCGTCCTCTCTGCATCTACAAAGGTTGAATTTAAACCTTTACGAACACATTTTTTGTTATCAACCAGAAAAAAAGGAATTTAATATCATTTAGTCTTACGATCGGGAGATTCAAAAGTGACCAGACACTTCCGAAGTTCTGGTGTCATGACTACGGAAGACACAGGACCTCCTTTAGAACGTCTGGCGTTTTCAAAGTAGTTTGTTACCATATCCTCAGATACACCATCTGGCAAACCAGTTACTTCGATTATGCATTGCACGGGAATTGGAGATCCACTCTGGTCTAGATAGGCAAGTTGCAAATAAAAAAAATTAGTTGTTGGGTTGCACGTCTTGTGAATGTCGTTACGATAGGACTTGTCTTTGTGGCCTTATTTAAATTGATTTTGAAATAGATTTTAGAAATCAGCAGCATGAGTACGCCTGAATTATATATATCTTATTGGACGTTTTGGTGTGTAGTATCACTGAGTATTTTTACGAGTTGTGGCGTATTTGGACGAGCCTGTAGGGCGAGTCTAAATACAAACAACAAGTTAGAATACATATATGTCGTTTGCCGGCTGGGAGGTTCGTATGGTTAAAAACTGTGATCGAGGTCTTGAAAATACTGCCCGAGGCCGTAAGCCGAGGTCACAGTTTTTCACCATACGGACCGACCCTTAGCCGGTAAATAACATTTTTTTTTTTTAAACTCGACGAAATTCTTTCAGAAAGAACCCGAATGATTTAGGGCTGTAAATACGGCAAGATCTTCCATAAACTGAACAATTTTTGTGCAAGTAAATGGTAGTTGATGCCTCACCGAAACATTTTCATTTGCGTAAGGATAAAGGTGATTTAAAAGGCTTCCAAACAAACTTTGAAACATTATTTTTACAAGTATCTGTCGCAATCTGACACCTGTCAATTAGAGAGCGCGTAAGAAAAAAAAATTGCAACAACATTTGAAAAACAACGGAACTAGTTTGGCAAGGACTTTCACGACAATTTTTTCTTCAAAAACATTCAATGAATTAACAGAAAGTATTATTCACCCTCATCGACGATTCATCCATGTACGAAGATTTACCTCTATTCATTAAGTAAACGGCAAGGAAAGTAATTGTGAGTAATTTAAATTTTATACTTAAAAGTTGTGACAGTTTGCTCGTTTGTTTTCTGCAGTGGCGTGTGAAAATCTGGGCTTTCCTCCACAAAAACTAAATTTGAATGGCTCACTCCAACGAGACACATGGGGATTTAATGCGGCCTTTTCTCAATAAATTCCTTCAGTTTCTGTTGAACAATTTACGGTACAAATGTCCAAATTGAACGGACTCAGAAAGACTCACCGAGAGCGTATATTTGTTGTAGAACTGAATTTAAAACTTCGCTCGCTCTTTCACTACGAACAAATTGTTTGAGAAAATTCAGAAGGAATGAAAATTCCATCGTTCAGTTTAACTGTAATCAAATACCTCACGATTTATTTTCTAGGTACTTTTTGCGAACGATTAAAGTTAATTGCAGACGGTTTTTAGGCCGCTTGTCAACGAACGTAATGACACTATTGCTTATACAAGTTCATTCTGAAACCAATATTTTTCTGTCAAACAAAGTGATTTGAGAAAGAGAAAAGAGAGGATTCATAAGTTATTTATCGTGTTCGTATAAAAATACTACCCAGCCGGAAAAACGAGATATATTTATGAAAAATGGCGACGAAATTTGGGATGTACTCGGTGACTCACGAAAGCGTTACCGTGGCCCGTGGGCAGAGATAGGAAAATACTGACCGGGTAGAGAACCAATCAGATTGCAGGATTCGTTACCTTACCCTCCAAAAAAAAAAAATCAACAATACTACACACCAAAACGTCTAATAAGTTATTTATGATTCAACTGCTTTATCTTATATGCGACCTGACCAAATATCGCGTGACAGTTGTACTCGGTTGCACGTCATTTGAACTCAATGCAGTTGGATGATAATTTCATCAGGCAGTTTTATACGATTAAGTTTATTTTTAAGGTATTCCACCCTGTTTCTTTTGTTCTGTTTCTCAGAAAATTTCGTCACTGTTTGGGGAAATTCTGAGAAAAAAAAACGCTTCGGAAAGTAATATTTGATTACAGATGTGTTACAGATGCAAAAAGCCGTGGCGTATCAAATGAATCATTTTAGTTCTTCTATCACAGAATTCGGAGGTTTTTGCTTTCAAGTTCTTTACCGCATTGCAACCGCTTAATTACATGGGGATTCCCCAGATTGCGTGACAAAATTTGATAACAAGGTTTGGCGTTTCATGACCCTAATTTGTTTTGAGACCGTCCAGAATGACCCAGATTACCTTCTGGGAGGTTCGGTAGGATGTCTTAAAGCAGAAGTAGGGTCCACAAAAACCCTCTTTTTTTTCCCCCAACAAAAATGTATTACAAAGATAGAATACTTACCAAAGATTCAGCCCCCAAAGTGCTTCCCAACCATACCCTCGCTCGAAAATCGATAACGCCACATTCTTGAATACGCCGCCTTCTTGCGTGACGTCTTGACTCGGTAAACACTAAAACATGGAACGACCTAAAGCCAACTACAACCATCTACAACCACCTCAAAAATTCCAACAACCACCCACAAGCACCTCAAAAACATCTACTGCCACTCGCAAACTATCTAAAACCATCTAAAACAAGGCTTTTAAAAATGTCTAAAATAAGGCGAAACGACAACATGTCACGTACACGAAATACGAGAATCGAACGAAATTTATAATCATGTTTCAACGCATTTTTCCATCGTAAGAGTCGGCACCAACGCACTCTACGATTGTTATTCGAGGATTGTCTACTCATTTATTTTCATTCATTAATGAGGTCGGCTTTTCTTCCCAGAAAAGGGCTATTGTGTTTACATGATAAACAAAATAATACATGGTTGCTTGAAGGTATGGAATTTCTCTTCTCGTGTTCAACTCGACATCTCACCCGTTCGCTGCGCTCACTCGTGAGCTATCGTTAAACACTGAGTCGAAGAGAAATTCCATATCTACGCGCGCCCGTGTATTATTCCCTATTTATTATTGTTTACTTGTTAGTTCATTTTGTAAAGTTCTTCAAGTCTTTTGCAACTGAGGGAATATAAAATAATTAGCGTGCTATCGCATTTCATTTCGTGAGATGGGTGATTATACATGGGACCGGGGAAAGTAAGATTTCAGGGGGAGGTGGAGGTTTCGTTCGATTCTCGTATTTCATGTACGTGACATATTGTCGTCTCGCCTTATTTTGGACATTTATGCCTTGTTTCAGATGGTTTTAGATAGTTTGCGAGTGGCTGTAGTTGTTTTTGAGGTGGTTGTAGATGGTTGTAGGTGGTTGTAGGTGGTTTTAGGAGGTCTTGGGTCGTTCCATGTTTTAGAGCTTACGCACTGAGCTCAACCTTGCTCTGAAACAAAGACGGCTGTTGTAGAGCCGTATCACTTCGAGTCAAAACGTGTTCCCGCGGAGAACAAGGCGTCTGAAAAATCGCCCAATGACAATAATGATGCGTCTGAAAGACTTAGCAGTTTGAACTGATCGACTGCGTTCGCAGTGAACTCGGAGAAACTGCAAGAGAGTGCGTCTGTTGTCTCGAACAGCCTGGATCGGAAAACAGGTTTGCAGATTTTATTTCATGAACTTAGTTCTTTTCTGCCCTACGAGCCACCACCTTCGAATTTACGTGATTAAGACTAGTTCTGAAGACCCCTGTTGGGAATCGAGCCTTGCCAGAATTTGACATGTGTTATCGTTTTCACATGTCATATCTGACCGTAATAAAGGTTCGAATTTCTTCCTACTTGTTTTGTTTTGTTTTTTCATATCACTATTGTTGTTTGTTTTTTGGTTGGGTTGTTTTTTTTTTTCAAAGCGAGCTGTCAATCAACTTGTTAATTAAACATCGAAGGTGGTTCAGTTTTTAGCCTCAAATGCCGTAAGACAAGCTCTACTTGAATCATCGACTGTTTCAACACTATTAAATGTTGTGCTTTAATTATTGCCTCACTTGCATGAACAGTGTTGTTTGGTATTACAAATCACGACTATCGTTTCCTTAAATCGGGCTGTTTTAAGAATAGCACTTATAAGCTAGGTTATACTTCTTTAAGACTGCCACTTATGCAGACCCGGTAAGAAATTTATATGCTGGAACTGATATTTATTTTTAAAACAATCAAGAATGCATAAGGTGTCTCAGCAGAGAAAGAGTAATACATCTCAGCTTTGCGATCTGTATTCCATAATGTGCAGCAGTATTATCCTACTTAAAAATAGTCACTTGAAGCTCTCAATTCAGTTCAATTCAATTTTATTAAAACTCACACAATACAGTATATTAGAGAAGGGTATAATTATTACAGTAGTGTTACAAACGTCAATATGAAGAATACAGCACAAAAAGAAAACTAAAAAGGAAACCAAAATAACTGGTAATGAATTCCAGAGTGTGGTATCCGTGTAACGAAGAGAACGACTACCATATTGAGTTGTTTGAACTGGGTTTACAAACAGATTTTCATTCAGTGATTGATGTGTTTAATATGAATGAACAGAAGATATTGGCCTAAAGTAATCAGTAAAACAAGGAGTTATTTTGTGAGACCACTGATAAACAAAATGAAGAATCTCAAGATGAATTATCAAGAAATTTTAAGAGATTCAGAGATTTTAGCAGTAGTTCTGAATGTGATGCAGGTCCAGAAAATGTCATAATTCTGACTATACACTTTTGCAAAGTAATCACTGGCTTTAAATAAGTTGGATATGTTAAACCCCAAACTAGGGTACCATAAGTGAGAAAGGAGTAGATTAGTTAATACTAAAGTATACAAAGTATGTCAAAACCAACATAGTATCTCAAATTTGAGAATATTCCCACAGTTTTTGACATTTTTAAGCGAAGCTCATCAATATGATTCTTCCTTGTCAGATTTGAGTCCAAGGTAACACCTAGATATTTAACCTTCAGTTCTCGATCAGGGAAATTTTTGATTGTCACAATCATGCCATGGCTGTTCATCCCATAAACATTGTCTAGAGGTTATAAGAGATGCAGATTTACATAAAATAGCAGAATTGAGACCTAATTCTGTTCTCTCTAAATGCACTTGAGCTTTTATTTTTATGTACTGTAGGTTATTATAAATGACTAGTAAGCAAAGAGCATATTTCTTCATAGACATTTAAATTGTCTAAATTATTTTCTATGCTGTTTTCCGTGTAATTGAACATAAATAGTGTGTGAGGTGGATTTACGAAAGAATTAGAAGGAAAAAGAAAGGTTATCCCATCTTCTGATTGTTTACTTAATAAGTCATTTCTAATCACTTACCTTACATAAAAATAAAATTACATGAACATTCAGAGTTGAGCAAGACAGAATTAGGTCATAATTCTGCAGCTTATGTAGATAACATCTGTTAGCCAATGTTTAAAGTTTATAGTGCTATCAGCTGTAGTGTATTAAAACTGGATGTTTGAGTTAACTGTAAGTTTATGTATTGGACATCCCACAATGCTATGCATGCTTGGTTGCGAATGTTGTGGAGACCAAAGGAGCATGTTGCATGTATGTCTGGTTTTGTTGTAATCCTATAACATTGTGATAGTAAAGCATTAAAATACAGAATTTAACATCAGCCACGAGGCAATCAAGACTGTGAAGGAAATTAATAACCTTTATCTTCACATGAGTTGAAAGCCAATGTTTAAAGTTTACAGTGCCATCAGCCATGAACCAACCAAGACTGTGAAGGAAATTAATAACCTGTATCTTCGCATGAGTTGTAAGCTAATGTTTAAAGTTTATGGTGCTATCAGCCTTAAGGCAACCAAGAGTGTGAAGGAAATTAATAACCTATATTTTCACATGAGTTGCAAGCATGGCATAGACTGAATGTTTGATAACCTTAACTGATATAGGCAGAGCTTCAAGTGACTATTTTCTAAGTAGGATAATACTGCTACACATCATGGAATACAGATCACAAAGCTGAGATGTATAACTCTCTCTTTCCTAGGGTACCTTGCACATTCTAGACTGTTGGATAAATATCAATTCCAATATATATATTTCTTAGCATGTAGGTGCTGTTCGCAAAACAGCCCGAGTTAAGCAAACAATCAAAGACTTGTCGCGATCTGCAATATGACACAACACTGTTTTCGCCGTGAGGTAATAATTAGAGCACAGTATTTCATAGTGTTGAAGCAGTCGATGATTCAAGAGTTTGTTTTATGGTACTTGAGGCTAAAAAGTGAACCACCTTCAATGTTTGTTTCCAACACGTTGGTTGAAAGCTTGGTTTTTTGAGAAAAAAAACCAAGAACAAGGACAGTGGTGATATGAGAAAAAAAAAAGTAGAAAAAAATTTGAACCAATTATGATGTAAAAATCATAACACATGCAAGGCTCGATTCCCAAACAGGGGTCTTCAGAACTAGTCTTAATCACGTGAATTCGAAGGTAATTCCTTATCGCATGCACATTGAAAGAGCAGAAAAAAAACAAAGTTCATGGAAGAAATTCCGTAAACCAGTTTTCGATTCCGGCTGTTCGAGACAACAGATGCACTCTCTTGCAGTTTCTCTAAGTTCACTACGAACGCAGTCGATCAGTTCAAACTGCTAAGTCTTTCAGATGCATCACTATCGTCTTTGGACACCTTGTTCTCCAAGGGAACATGTTTTGGCTCGAAGTGATGCAGTTCTACAACAGCCGTCTTTGTTTCACATCAAGGTTTAGGGTGGCGGCATATTCAAGATGGTGCGTTATTGCTCGATTTTCGAACAAGGATTTTGTATGGTTGGGAAGCGCTTTAGAGGGTGAAACTTTGGAAAGTATTTTATATTTTTATCAGCTTTTTGTAGGTGAAAAGAAAAACAAGTGCTTTTCTGGACGCTACTTCTCCTTTAACACAGCCTTGAGGGAAAGTGATCCCCTGCAGATTTGACTCTTTAAGGCCTCTGATCCATCCAGTCTCGTGGATGTTAGTGCAGAAGACATTGCAAATAGCTTCTTAGTTTCAGAAATTACTCCAGAAACCAAAGAAGAAGCTATTATTATTCACTTTCAGAAACATAAACATGGTGATGGATGATTGGAAGCCCAAAAAAAGCTTGATGCAAGACCATATTTTTGGATGATATCCTCACACAATTGCTCGTGCACTCATCATTGATTCCTAACTAACTCAATGATTGGGGCATTCTTTCACATGTCTTAGCATAACAGGTGAAATTAAAAAAAAACAACAAAAATAGCAGAATATATATATATATCTAAACTAAAATTTTAAATTTTACAACCAGAAGCAAGCGGATCAACACTTTACCTGTCATTTTAGATTTCTTTAGCTTAGCTTTCATTCCCGTTTTCCTAGAAGTTATCTCATCTCTGTGGAACTGAAAAAAGGAGAAAAATTATCGGTTAAACACTCTCAAAGACACGATGGTATTGCAAATGAATCATCCTTCCAGTTTTGGGTGATCCTTTGTTGCTGAAACAATCATTCATAATTGTTTTGACTTTGGAGTGGTTGCTGGTTTCTCATGTTGTTCTAACTCTCTAGTGACTGTATAATCAATAATTATATGAACACCGTTCTCTCATTTCTCAATAGCGTGGAAATTTTCAGAACATGAAAGAAGATACCTGGTGATGTGTCTGTGGCTCTCTCTTTTTCACTCGTAATCTAAATGGACTGTCTTTGATGGCTTCACCTCGAATTGTAACAGATATTTTGAAGTCATCTGCTGTTTCACTTCTGTACTTCACTCGATATCGACCATTTTTAGAGTCTGTCACGCTGGCTGTCAAAATTCCCATCGTATTGATGGAGATTATTTCAACATTGACCTGATCGATTTCGCTATAAACTATTTGTCCCTTGGTATCTTTTGTAATCACAGTAAATGTGCTCTCCTCTCCTTTAATGGCCTCATTCAAACCACGACCTTCTGCAACAGATACCGTAGGTTCTGTAACCGTCCTTATCAGCTTTCCAGGTCCGTCTTTCAAGCAACTGAAATCATTTGAACTGTACACAAATTCAGGGAAGACCAGTGTGGACTCAAAGGGTACGGAGAGTTCTTGCAGCCTGTTCTCCAGCATTTCTTCAACATTTAAAATTTCTGGTAGATTTCTACGAGAGAGTATTTCCTCGCCAAAACTGAGACTGCTTTCGATTTCCACCACTCTACCATCCAAGCTGGACATTTGGTTTGAAAATTCAGCCTCAAATGCGTCTCTCTGCTTCATTAACTTTCCTATTATGTCTGCCTCGTGCTTGCGAATAAATGTAATCCACTGTTCTGCAACCGTACGTACACTGTTTGTTGCTCGCTCAAAGCTGCTCATTACCTTGATTCTACGTTTCTCTAGAGATTCCTTTTTGTTTCTCAAGAGAGATCCGTTTGCCTGAACTTCTCGTATCTTATTCTCAATTTCAGTTGTCTTATTTTCTAGTCCTTTCTCTAGCGAAATTTTCTTGTGGTCAACGTGACCCAGTATGGCACAGTCACGACAAATGCAAATTTGACATGCTTCGCAGAAAAATCTGAATTTGTCATCGTGTTCCTTGCAGACGTTCGTTTTTCGAGAATAGTCTTCTACATCACTGGAGTCAAGTTGTCCAATTTCCTTGAGCTGATGGCCTCTGAAATCCTTCCACTTCTTGTGCAGAGCAGTGCATTCTTCGCACAGTAAACAGTTGCAACTGGAGCAGTAAAACCTCAGTAATTTTTGCTCGTCGCAATTCCTGCAACATGATGATTCTTCTTGGCCAGTGTATGCCTCCACAATTTCCACCATTTGTTTGTAAAACAGGTTCGACGGAAGACTGTCGATGTCATTGTTGGGGCACTCAGTTTCTGTCCGGCAAGTTGGACAACTTAAGGCTCCTGTGCGATGTTGTCGAAGCCATCCGTCCAAGCATGATTTGCAAAAGGTATGAAGGCATTTGAGAATTTTCGGTTGCTTGTTTGCGCCGAATTGCTCCTGACACACTGGGCATTCTATTTCCTTTTTCACGTCATCGAAAAAACTTTTAGCTCGGGCCATGACTTCTTTAGAGGCAAAATAGAAAGTGTAGACACCTTCACCGTGAAAGCCCTTACAACCCAAGCGTAAATTGGTACAGAGCGAAAGTATGCTTGCGGTCATGTGATAACAATTGTACCCAGGACCTCAAATATTTCAAAAACAAACGGTTGGGAAAGAATAAAGTACAAACAAAGTAGGAAACATGGAAACATAACAGACAAAATAAGACAAGAGAACATCTAAAACAAAAGCAAAACATGTATAAATGATGACCATAATAAAATAAGCAATCGAGAGCAGCTTCTCTTGTCGTAATAATGCTTTTAAGAGCCACTGACCGTAAATATCGAGAATCCGTTGAAAGATGCAATATTTCATTATTCGTTATATTTTTTTCCTAAAGGACCTTTTGATGAACCTTTTTCACAAATTGTATCAAAAAGTTCTAACGCACTTTGTCAGGAGCCCATTAAGTGATGGGCTCCTGGCTTTGTTTTCTCCGAAAAATCGAAAAGTTCCAAATACGCCCAAATGGCCGTTGACCCCCTCGTCAAGTGATGAAAATTGTGCAACCTCAGCATTTCGTACGCCACAACACGATGCATCCCGCTTTGAAATTCCGCGGGCCAGTAAATGGTCGTTTCATCTTTTTTAAATGATAAATTTCTTTTCACGTTGTTGGGTTTTCAATGTGCATAGGCACCCTTTGAAATAATGTGCTTTGTGTTTTCTTTTTGCAAAGGTAAAAAAAGGTCAACTAAATAAATAACGCTTTAATCTCCCTAATCATTCCAAACAACTTATGACAGATTGCGGCCTTTCCTCACATCCAAGCAGTTCGGAAAGCCGCAAAACATTAGAACAAAAATTTATGTTCTAAATCGGCACTCTTAATCCTCACGGTATCAACTAGCACTTTTCATTCAGCTAATTTATTCTTGTTTTCTCGTCACCATACTCTCACCAATAGCGTAGCTCCACTTTCTTCATATAAACGCACACACGACCCACAATTCCTCTAATCGTTCTGACGAAGGGCTAACACTCGAAACGTCAGCCTTTTTACTCTTTACGGTGGCCCATTTACATTTTTAACTAAGTTGTCAACACTAAATTACAGGCCTATAACAAGGTCTGCCACATATGTTTACGACTGATAATATACATCATGTTCAAGCTTTTTCCTTGCACTTTAATTCCTTTTATTTTCTTTCTTGACCCGCCATACGCGGCGCGTCCAGGTTGAAAAGAGTTCGGGCTATAATTGAAAAAAGTGCCGTGCGGAACGCTGAACAGTTGTCATGGGATATTTAAAGGCCTGAATAAAAGGGCTGGTATATATATATATATACCAAGATTTTGTACCAATTTACGCTTGGGTTGTAAGGGCTTTCAACTATTAAACATCACCTTAAAGGTTATTCCTGTAATTCCTCAAATTTTCTTCCTTAGCCCGCCATAAACGAAGCATCCAGGTTGAAAAAAGTTCGGGCTATTTTAACGAAAAATGTAATGCGATCCGTTGAACGACTGTCACGACCTTTTACATGACAGCCGTGACAGACAAGTTCACTTGTGTTTTACTTTTTGAAGCCAGGAGGACAAATTTCAGTGGAAGTCAAAATTTCAGTGGGTTGTCAAAATTAAAGAAGTTAATAGAACTAATAAGAGATAAAGAGGATAAAGTGGATCTGTAGATGTGTCGATAGTGTCACTGTCGGCATTTATAATGAGCTGTTAACTGTGAAGTTGTTCTATTGTTACAGAATTAAAGGATTATGATTTTTTTCTGTTTCGCATTTGTCTTTTGTCATGTGTTGACATTTGTTCGTTATATCGGGGTATATTATAAGTTTGGGCTTCTGGATTGAGTTCGTTATTTTAATCCAACAGCCGCCTGTAAAATATCAATGGACCGGTCCTCTTTAAACCGTTTTAGTCCCAACTTCACATATGTCTCGGACGATAAATATAGCTGACCATTCTTAAGCCTGCAATATGTTGAATCAAGCTCAACTGGAGGGGGGGGGAACACCGATCCAATAACAAAACTCCCCTATGACAGAACTCGTTATGTCTTACTGAAGGGAAGTGTTTTTCATAGGAAGTATTTGTCACAAGAAAAATTTCAGATCGAATAAAACCAATTTCTCTTCTTAAGGGCAAACTACCCAGCACTATGACAAGGGATATCGTTGGGTGATCTCGCACACCATTAGGGTAGAGGGGCAACTGAAAGAAGGGGGGGAGAGGATGGACAGTTTTCAGCAAACTCTTAAATTCAAAAACTCTCAAGGGTAAAAGAATATTTTCAGCACTTGCGATGTTTTGTATAAAAAGTGACACACTAGCACACTTAGGCGAGAAAAAGATCATGGTAAAAGTCTTCTTCATGTTTTCAGGTCGAGAAAGTTGACCATATACGCGTCATCAGTTTACTGTCATGGTTTGGTTTTTAACAGTTGTGAATTGTAAACTTCAGGGGTTTTTTTTTTTAATCTTGGCATGAAGTTCAAAAAACATATTTAGTACTCAATACATATTTATTTTAATCCCGTTAAGTTGACTATTATTATACTTTCATGTCAAAAATACAGCGACACTTGCACGATCTCTGTTGTTTAAAGGTTATCGGCGATGTGCGCTGGCTAAGTACGTGACCTAAAAACAGAGGAATCCATTCACCGGAATACGAGTCATTCTCTGGAGATCACTCTCCATCCTTTGAATAACCGGATCTATGTAAATATTACAAATACGGCAGTTTCATTTACCAATGTAAAAATTATTCTCCAGTTCACTAAGTGCCTGACACTTTGTGCGAAATAGAAAACAAAGAAGTGAAAACTTAAATGAAAATTAGGAACCAAAAAAAATTACAAACGGTACCCTTGTATAAGCGAGTTGTTATGGTTTGAAAAACAGCAAAGTTAATTCTGAACTGCTAATTCTGTAAATGTGATAAGTGATACGGTAAAAGCCTTGTTCGATCGTAGTTATTCGCTAAAGCTGGTCATCTATAATTGTTTCCATCCCATGAAGACTTCCTCCAACAGAAGTATACGTTGTAGGTCAAATTTTGGGTCGAAACAAGAACCATGATGGTCAACATTAAGCTCACTGCTCTCATCTGGTTTGGATTGTTTCTAATGTCGGGATATACGGCGTGATTCTTTAAGCATTTTCATTTGGGGCTCAACGGAGAAATGAAATCCACAATAACTGATAAAAAAAAAAAAGCTATCCTCTATGACAACCTACGGGAAAAATTAACTGCAAAGAAATAAGCAGAAAAACCTTGTTACGTATCATTAAACAGTGTTTTAACAGCCGTAAAGAGCAAAATATGTTTCATGTAGCCTCTTACTTAACTCTCACAATGGCCACATTTTCAGTAGAACTGTTATACCACCTGAAACTTGTGTATTAGGGATGTCACTGTTCTAATGTTTTTTGTTCTTTTATTGTTCTTTTTTTTTTTTTGTAACCTAACTACCAAATGTATACGATATCAAAGCCACATGAGAGGAGTCCTTTCTTCTCAGATAGGTGATGATATCACAGTCTTTATGTTGCGCCAAAATGTATCTTCAACATTCGAGAGTCGCCGCTCACTTAGGATCAGCGAATTCCCTTGGCTGCCAAGTCTTTTTTAACCCGTCGGAGATAACCTGAGTCCGGATAACCATACCTGCGATAATAATTACAAATATTTCAGCAGCGAATTGAGCAATATGTATTATTATGAAATATCAATAAAGAAGACTTGTGCGTCGAAGAAAAACACGGAGGCTTCCAAACTTTCAAGCTTCTACCCAACATTACATAATAACAGCTTATTAAACTCTCTTGTAGTAACTTACTGAATTAACGAGTTATAGTACAATGAAAACTTAATTAATAAAATCAACTGTGCACATTTCTGTGTATACTAAGTACAAATTATATACACCACACCAGAACATGTATCCCATTTGTTAAAAACACTTAAAAGTGAAAAAGTCTTCGTTGCGCTTTGTTCTACAGGTAGTAACGTTTTTGTAAAAGTACAGCTGGTCTGATTTGTGCCTTAGGGTGTAGGGACAGGTATCGTCTAGGCGTGTTGGTAGAAGAGGATGAAGAGGGTGGTTTAAGTCCTTCATTTTGCATATATACTCTTTACATATCTTATCTCTTCTACACGTAAGGGTCACCACCCGTGCTAACTCGAGGGCATCTAAGTAGCTATCAGCACACGGGAAAATTATCATAAGTGCACTTTTCTGTGTGGACTCAATTTTGTCAGACAGACAACCTGGAACGGATTGCCACGCAAGCACGGCGTACTCTAGAGCAGATCTAACAGATCTTGTATAGACCTTTAAGTTAGGACACAACATAAAGTTAATTAACATCTCTTTACATTTAATAGTAAAGAGTCCAATGTATTCTCTTTTAATTAAGTAGAAAAATATTAACGAATCACTCACTCGTGAGGCCCTCCAGATATATTAGTCTTGTGGTGAATACCATTCCAGGTGATCTGGTTCCGCAACCCAGAAGTTATTGACGTACCGCCCACCGTGAACACCAATCGAGCATCAAAGGCTCTCCTCAGAAGAGCCAATACTTCTTTCCCTTCTCTGTTATCGGGAAGATATGCGGTACGACTGGTACTACTGTATGTTTCGCCAGGATGTGGATGCTCCCGGCCTTGAATCCCAGAAGGAAAGCTGTAGACAATTATAATTGTTCCACAACCTGCAAAGAGAATTGCACCATCCAAGATGAGTGCCGAATTCATTTTGCCTTTTACATGCTAGTAAAATGATCCGTCCTAAATCCGTCTCGTTTTGACGGCAACTGAGGAGATATTGAATCCAAAGTAAGATCTTTGTATCCGTTAACTTGAGATCTAGAACATTTTGCACTATCAACGATTATTCCATGACCTCCGAACGTTTTTTTTTTTTAGTTTATCGTTTGTCCTTTTTCTCAAAGTCTTTTACCAAACCATATAGAATGATCCACATCTCTTCACTCATACCAGCTCTTAAAAATCTTTCCCTTTATTTTAAGCGCTAGCACTACTTGCGTAATAAAACTTTTTACATCGTCACGGGTCGATGGGGCATTTTAATGGGACGGGTGTCGAGGAGGAAAACCTGGTTAAAAACCACTTCATCACGGAACCTCACCGGATTTATCGGTGTGTTACACCAAACTCAGTCATATACCAAAACTAATATAATATAATTTTCTCAGACGAAAGTAACCATTTTCAGGAATGAACGTAACCCAAACAAAACATCTACGGGAAAGCAAAAATTTAGGGCCTGTTTACATGGAGGCCTCGAGGTGGGGGACCCCAGGTAGGTGAGGTAACCCACCTAGGTGGGGTAACCCGCCTAGGTGGGGTAACCCGCCTAGGTGGGGTGACCCGCCTAGATGGGGTAACCCGCCTAAGTGGGGTAACCCGCCTAAGTGGGGTAACCCGCCTAAGTGGGGTAACCCGCCTAAGTGGGGTAACCCGCCTAAGTGGGGTAACCCGCCTGTCCATATAATTTCTTATTTTATTTTGATTACGTTTACATGATAGGTGGGGTGACCCGCCTAAGCGGGTAGCCCGGTCTGCCAGGTAGGGTAACCCTGTCAGCTGGGGTGACAATTTGCCATATAAACATGTCAAGGTGGGGTAACCCGCCTAGCCGGGGTGGCGGTTCATGGCAAAAAAACTCAAAAGCGAAACATGTATGTTTTAAAACTTTGTACATTTCCTAACCGTCTCATGGCAGAAGTCACCAGAAACCGCAACGGACACACAAGGAGTGTACAATGTTCACATTTCGGAATATTTAGCGTTATAAATCGACCATATTTGGTTTCCCAAACTATTCTGTATAACGTATTAAGTCAACAGTTTCTCGCGAAACCAAACACCGCGTAACACAACGCGTGACGCTTTCATGAATAAATACATATGTGTCCGAGAATTAATCTTTCGTCTTTTTCGAGATGTGAGCTTGGGACGCCTCTGCTCAAACTCCTTAATTGCAAGCACAACAACAACCTCAAGAAACCTCACCCCAGCACCCCGAGGTTGTAAACGCGTGCATGCATATAAACGCGTTTTATTTTTCGACCACGGCTGAGGCGGGTTACCTCACCCACCTGGGGTCCCCAACCTCCATGTAAACAGGCGCTCAGATGGAGGGGACCCAAATTCGTCCTACAATCTCTAAGGGGATCCCATCCTCGTGTGATTATTTTATAATTACCGTGATAGCCTGGAAGACTCTGCTGACTATGGTTCACGTGCATTTTCCCGTCAGGTTGATTTCCTTTGACAACACCTTGCGGTTCTTTACACAGTGGACTTCGGTTGTCATAAGTCACCGTAGTCTCCACAGAGTCAGTACGGAAGACATGCCTACACCCCAATTTTTTAGGATTTTCTATCGCATCCCAACAAATCACACATTCGTCATCTTTACTTGCACCTCTAGAAGCAGAATCTAGTTAATGTAGAAAAATTAAACGTTGTTGCAGATACAGCATGGCTGTGTTCACAGTACAAATGAATAAAGGGGGTAAGTTTCTAAAGAAACTGTGGCGCTGCGTCGATGGGAGAGTATAACAGGGTAATTTAGAATTAAGCTGACTATCGAGCGTTAGCCCTTCGTCTATTGCTCTGACGCAGGGCTAACGGCTCGAAACGTCAGCTTTTAAACTCTTTATGGTGGCATATTTACTTTAATTATCAACTCAGTTGATAATACTTAATTACCCTGCTTCACAATACAAAGGCTGGTAGATGAGGACCAATAACATAAATAATTCAAATAAACCATTACAAGGTTTAAAATCCCAACAGATAGAAGAGCTTTCATGCAATTCGAATATTGAGAAGGCTCATTTGGACAGCAGTCCGTGAACTCGAAAAGCTTCTCTTATCTCGGAGAGTGAAAAAGTTTAATTCCTCTTTTAGGCATTTCCAGATCGAACAGCAATATCTTGGGCAATATTAGCATAAATCAATCTGTTGTACGGCTGTAACACTGAAACCGACTTTCTACTAACCTTATACAACCAATAAATTGCAAACAAAGGCCTAACATTGGTTTTGTTGCGATAAAATATTTCACCTCACGAAACGTAGTCTTACCTTCAGATGGTCCTACCCGAAGACCCTTTCCGTTTAGCACGTCCTCGCGTCTGTTACTTGTCACTGCATCGCAAAAAGACTTGGAGGAGGAATCGCTATCCGATATCAAAGGGTCATTCACATCATCTGTCTCATTTTTTCCTTTATTCTTCTCCCTTTTTGAACTTGGAGGTTTGGGGGCCGTTGTGCTAGCAGCCAGAGACCGATCTTTTTGGATTTGAAAGAACTCGATGAATTCTTTCTGTATACCAAAGCCCCCTTTATCGATGATTGTGCCTGCTACTCCAGCATCATGACTGAGTTTGCAATCGGCTTCATTCACCATCATATCGGCGTTTTGATCCGTGATGTCACCCTTAACAACAGAAAGCTCAACTGAACCTACGAAACATAAGAGCTGATTTTAAGTAGCAAGAATATTTCAAACCACTCGACGTTTACGTAATGTAGAACTTACGCCTCAGTGCTTCTATCCTTGATATATTCTGTAAAACTGATGAAGGATTTTAAACATGTTTCAAAGTTATTATCTTGTACCGTACCTAAACAACCTCGCAAGGTTAAAGGCAATGGTTATCATGTAAAATTTGCCCAACTTCATGACCAATATCTCAGGGAAACGTACTTGTAGAGGTGCCAAGTTCGTCTTTCTTCTCAGAGTAAAGATCATGTGAGAAAAACTACTACAATTTTTAAGATACACAATGATATGAACATATCATTATACCACTATTACACCATTGAAACGTGATGCTAGGTCGACAGAACGTGCAAAATATGTGACGGTATATTACTCTAAGAAACAAGGCAAAATGCGAAGCGAAGGAAAAATATGGCCGGACTAAACGATCCGAACCTTGCCCTGTTTACGTCTTTTGGCGTGACTTTCTAAGGGAGGAACTTTTAACTGAAACATATTTATGAAGTGAACAGAACGAAACTTCCAAAGCAGGAAAACTTTATTCGCAAAATTACAGAGCAATCAGAAAGAACCAAACAGTGTCTAAGGGCCTGTTTACATGAATGTGGGAGACCCCGGGTAGGTGAGGTAATCCGCCTAACCGTGGTCGAAAAATAGCCCGCATTTCTGATACAATCTTACAAATCCGGGATGCTGGAGGGAAGTTTCTCGACATTGTTATGGCACTTGTAATTTTAACAAAGGAATTTAAGATGTCGCTATGGCGACGTATGGTAAAACGTTACCGAAATAACATAATTTATTTTCTTCTAAGATTTTCGCCAGTAGCTCGATGCGTCAACGGTTTCTGAAGGTACAACGTCTTTACTTCGGCATAACATGTGAATGTAGAGTTGAGTTCAAAGAAAAAACGAGACTAAATCGCTGTCGAGGTTTCTTTGCAACAAGGATGTAAAAATTGGTGTTTTAACGTTTTAGCTCTGCATAGGACGACTAGGAAATGTACAAAGTTTTAACACACTCGTGTTTCGCTATTGTTTTACTCATTTTACCCCACCTTGAGACGTTTACATTACAAATTGTCACCTCGGCTGACAGGGTTACCCTTTCCAGCAGACTGGGAAACCCGCCTAGGCGGGTCACCCCACCTATCATGTAAACGTGATCAAGGTAAAATAAGAGATTATATGGACGTACCTAAGGTCCCCCACCTCAATGTAAACAGGCCCTGAAAGTCGAAGTCATCAAAAATTGTCTGAAACCGAAAAAAAACGCAACTAAAAAAGATCCAAAGTAACCTGAAGGTGCTTTATAGATGGGAGAAATGTGTAAGCAATACTAGCGGACGTAGTTCGGTATCAAAACGTAAGCGAATACGAGCCTGACTCTCTTTCGTACATGGAAGTGTCACGAAGTTTCAACTGTAAGGACAAAATACCAACAAACCACCGAAACTGGAGTACACGCAGGTTCAGAACCTGCTTAACGAGAGGCAACCTTGTGATGAAGCACCATATGGTCTTTTGTACACAGTTTGGTTTAATAATGTCCTGTTCTTGGGTAAGAGTGCCCGCAACGAACATCATCGAATCAAGATTACAAATTCAAATAACCGCGAACACTTCAAATGTAAACAGTTCCACATTTGTCGAAGTATGACAAATAAATGTTGTATTTACCTAACATGTGTTCTAACTGAACATCACTTTTAAAGTTCTCGTCATCCTCATCTGTTCCATCTCTGCACCAGGCCCCTGCTTCCTGCGCCGTCCGATCAATCAGATCGAGGTGTGCTATGCCTCCTGATGGTTAAGAATTCTTGATTGATCACACCCTTTAACCCTAAATTATAACCTTACGCCATTGAGAGAATTTCGTTTTCGATATGATTAAGTGGAGGCCTCTTCACTGATGACTTTGAGGTGTTGTTGGTTAATAATAATAATATTTTATATTTATATAGCGCAGACCTCTATATGGATATATTCAGGTGCGCTTCACAATATTGTCAAATTAAAATTATGTTTAAGGTAAGTAAAAACATAAGAAACTATTTGATATTGGGAATAATGAGGAATCTTGGTCCTGTTACTTGGCTTTCACGCTCGGTGTATGTCATCGAAATTTCCCAGAAAAAAGCAGAATATATGTAATAACTATAATTTTAAATTTTACCTCGAGAAGCGAGCGGATTAACCACGTCAATAGTATACCTTTTACCAGTCATTTTAGATTTCTTTGACTCAGCTTTCATTCCCGTTTTCATAGAAGTGAACTTATACTTGTGGAACTGAAAAAAATAGAAAAATTTTTGGTTAAACACTGTCAAAGACACAGTGGTATTGCAAATGAATCTTCGTTCAAGTGTTGGGTGATCTTTTGCTGCTGAAACAATCATTCATAATTGTTTTGACTTTACAGGTGTAGCTGGTTTCTCACGTTGTTTCAACTTTCCGGTGACTGTAATGACGATGAATGAGCAAACAGTAAGTACAAATTTTCTGATTTTATTCTTTAACTTTTACCATAATATTAATTAAAAAGTAGGTACAGTAAATTCCGAGAAGAGATCTAGGGGAACTTAAGTAATTCAGAGAAAAAAATAACTCTGACAATACTTAATTTATTTAACCTCGGTAGCCAAATTAAAATTATGTTTATATATAATTATGGTTATGCTGTAAGAAATAACCTTTGATCAAATATTTCAGACTCATATAGTCAGTAATAATATGAATACCGTTCTTTCCCTTTGAATAAAATGGATATTTTCAGAACATGAAAATGATACCTGGTGAAATGTCTGTGTCTCTCTCTTTTTCACTTGTAATCTAAATGGACTGTCCTTGATGGCTTCACCTCGGACTGTGACAGATATTTTGAAGTCATCTGCAGTTTCACTTCTGTACTTTATTTGATATCGACCATTTTTAGAGTCAGTCACGCTGGCTGTCAAAATTCCCATCGTGCTAATGGAGATTATTTCAACATTGACCTGATCGATTTCGCTATAAACTATTTGGCCCTTTATATCTTTTGTAATCACAGTAAAAGTGCTCTCCTCTCCTTGAATGGCCTCATTCAAACAACGACCTTCTGCAACAGATACCATTGGTTCTGTTACTGTCCTTATCAGCTTTCCAGGTCCGTCTTTCAAGCAACTGAAATTATTTGAACTGTACACAACTTCAGGAAAGACCAGTGTTGGCTCAAAGGGTACGGAAAGTTCTTGCAGCCTGTTCTTTAACATTTCTTCCACATTTAAAATTTCTGGTAGATTCCTACGAGAGAGAATTTCCGCGCCAAAATCGAGGCTGCTTTCGATTTCCACCACTCTTCCATCTAAGCTCGACATCTGGTTTGAAAATTCAGCTTCAAATGCGTCTTTCTGCTTTATTAACTTTCCTGTTATGTCTTCTTCATGCTTGCGAATAAATGTAATCCACTGTTCTGCAACCGTACGTACACTGTTTGTTGCTCGCTCAAAGCTGTTCATTACCCTGATTCTACCTTTTTCTAGAGATTCCTTTTTGTTCCTAACGTGAGATCCGTTTGCCTGAACCTCTCGTATCTTATTCTCAATTTCAGTTGTCTTATTTTCTAGTCCTTTCTCAAGCGAAATTTTCTTGTGGCAGTCGTGACCCAATATGGCGCATTCACGACAAATGCAAATTTGACATGCGTCGCAGAAAAATCTAAATTCGTCATCGTGTTCCTTGCAGACGTTAGCTCTTCGAAAGTAGTCCTCTAAATCACTGGACTGAAGTTGTCCAATTTCCTTGAGCTGGTGGCCTCTGAAATCCTTCCATTTCTTGTGTACTCTAGCGCATTCTTCGCACAGTAAACAGTTGCAATCGGAGCAGTAAAACCTCAGCGGTTTTTGTTCGTCGCAATTCCCGCAACATGATGATTCTTCTTGGCCTGTGTATGCCTCCACAATTTCCACCATTTGTTTGTAAAACAGGTTGGACGGAAGACTGTCGATGTCATTGTTGGGGCACTCAGTTACTGTACGGCAAGTAGGACAACTTAAAGCGCCTGTGCGATGTTGTCGAAGCCATCCGTCCAAGCATGATTTGCAAAAGGTATGAAGGCATTTGAGAATTTTCGGTTGCTTGTTTGCGCCGAATTGCTCCTGACACACTGAGCATTCTATTTCCTTTTTCACGTCATCGAAAAAACTTTTAGCTCGGGCCATGACTTCTTTAGAGGCAAAATAGAAAGTGTAGACACCTTCACAGTGAAAGCCCTCACAACACAAGCGTAAATTGGTACAAAGCGAAAGTATACATGCAGTCATGTGATAACAATTGTACCCAGGACCTCAAATATTTCAAAAACAAACGGTTGGGAAAGAGTAAAGTACAAACAAAGTAGGAAACATGGAAACATAACAGACAAAATAAGACAAGAGAACATTTAAAACAAAAACAAAAACAAAACATGTATAGATGATAACCATAATAAAATAAGCAATCGAAAGCGGCTTTCTTGTCGTGATAATACTTTTAAGAGCCACCGACCGTAAATATCGAGAATCCGTTGAAAGATGCAAAATTTCATTATTCGTTATATTTTTTCCGACAGTTGGAAAAGATGGAAGCAAGAATTAGAGTTTAACATGGATTTGGCAATGAACGGTAGGGAAGAGGCGACGAAAGTAAAATTATTTCTGTATTTAATCGGCAGTCAAGGGAGGGAAATTTATGATACGATGGCCTTCGAAGTTCCAGCGTCGGAAAGAACTTTAACGCAGGTGTGAGCAGCCTTGTACGGACATTGTAATCCGAGAAAAAATGAAACTGTTGGAAGTTTCAAGTTTTTCTCCCGTACTCAGGACCCGGGTGAATCACAAGAAAAAATAATTGCAGATTTTAAGCTGTTAGCGACGACCTGTAACTTAGGTGATCCTAAAGATTCGCTGCTGAGAGACCGGATCATTTGGGGAATTCAGGACCAGCAGCTTCGAGAATAACTGCTTAAGATCCCAGATCTTGATTTACAAAGATGTTTCAACGTCTGTAGATTGGCCGAGTTATCGAAAACACGGACTAAAAAGAAGTGCTCGGTTCGCAAAAGAATGAATCATTTCGCATCTCAACGCTTTATTAAAACGAGAGGAAACGTCGTCAAATCAGATAGTGAGGGCGAGCTCGATGAATTCTGCCTCACGCTCCGCTCAGTGAATGAAGGTGGAGTAATTGTTGTTCATGTACCGAGTGATCTGAAATATGCTAAAAGTTGTTCGCTACAATTAACGTCGGAAATATACTAGCCTAGTTTCAACTGGATAGTGGCGCGACATGCAATCTGGGTAAGTTGACAGCCAGTGCACCCCTTTGCTACTTCTTCAATTGCTTTGTCCATCCCTGGCCACCACATGTAGCTCCTGGCCAAGGCCTTCATCTTAACGATTCCAAGGTGGCCTTCATAGAGTTCAGCTAACAGTTGTGCCTGGTGCTTGGGTGGGATTATCACTCGTGAGCCCCACATAAGGAAGCCATCCTGTATGGTGAGCTCATCATTCCTCCTCTGAAATGGCTCCAGCTCCTTCTCACTAACAGTTGGCCATCCTTGCTTTGTGTTTTCCATCACACGTGACAAAACCGGATCTCTCTGAGTTGCTTGACGGATCATATCTGCATTGACTGGCAACTGTTACGGGAAAATTTATTGATTTTCCCGTGTGTGTTATTCGGAACATATTTATTCGTAAACTTTCACATTTAACCATTTCAAGTCCTTTCATTTTAATAAATCAAAAAATGCATAAAAACCACAGTAGCTTTTGAATAGATTTTTGTTGTTACTCGCTTTCATCATATGCACCTGGTTGTCGGCACTTTTGTTTTTTATTACATGGTTTTTTTAGGTAAATATAAGTGTTAATGGTCTTTCTGGAAACATTGGTTTTCATGGTAGATAGCAGCTGAGTTTATACTCGTAAATCTAATTTCTTTTCATGCGATGGTTTCCAAACCAATCTTGTATAAATAAGCAGAAACTTTTAATTGCTTTTCCGTTTTTTGTTTCCTGAGCTGCGCTACTGCAATTAAGATAGGTATTATTTTCTATACCAGAGCTGTAAATTCGCACCTAGGTTTCCTACTTTAATGGCCTAGAGTTTATTGCATCCGTCTTTTTAATTTTGAGATCCTTTCCGTCGTAGAAACAGATGGAATATTTAAGTAGTTTTCGTTTAACTTCAAAGAGACTTTTTTCCGCTCCTTTGTGTCCTTATTCAAATATTGCGATTTGTGTAACAATAGCACTTCGCACCAGTTACTTCTTAAGCAAGTACCTTGTACAGCTTTGATGATTACAAACTAGAGTATGCTAGAGGTCATGTCGCTTGTTGGCCTGACCTAGAATAAAAGTACTGTGGAATAAGCTCGCTCGAAGTAGATCTCCGTGTACCAGGAAATCGTGACGAGTTTCCGTTCTCGCTGCCAAGTCGTCTCTACAGAGTTATTTCCCCCAGCTGTTATTTTGCCGTCCGCGAAGAGTCAGTTTTCCAGTTAGCGAGGGAAAAGCTATCGTCACACAGCACTTCTATCTGGGATACTTGAAAAATCTCCACTGGGTCAACCACTTCCTTGTCACAGGCTTTCTGTAGAGGTAGGGGTGACAATCCATCCGCGTTTCCATGTTGGGTTGTGTTCTTGTATTCAATACTGTATTCAAACCCTGCTAGAAACAACGCATAACGTTGCAAGCGAGCAACTGTCATTGCTGGTTTTCCTTTCTTAGGATTAAAAATTGAGGTCAGGGGCTCATGATCTGTCACGAGTCTGAAATGACGACCAAACAGGTAAAGGTGGAATTTCTTGACTCCCCAAACCAAGGCTAGGGCTTCTTTATCAATTTGGGAGTAGTTCACTTCTGCTTTGGTTAGGGTACGTGATGTGAAGGCTATGGGTCGCTCTGAGCCATCCTCCATGATGTGCGATAAAAATGCCCCAATTCCGACCGGTGAAGCGTCACAGGCTAGTCTCAATGGCCGTCCAGGATCATAATGGGTGAGCACCATGTCTGATGTGATCAGCTTCTTTTCTAAGTGGAAGGCCTCCTCGCACTCTGTGGTCCAATTCCATATTTTTCCTTGCTCCAAGAGTCCATTAAGGTTTTCAAAATAGCGGTAGTGTCAACCAGAGGTGTGTTTGGGAAGGTTTCCTTATACGCCTCCAAAGGGAGTGTAGATATCGCAGAACCTGCTCCATCTTCAGTGTGTGGCCATTAGCTTTTGGTTTCACCCAGATGACGTCACTAACTACTCCATGGTTAACATTATTGACTTCTAGGGATGCCACCAAGCTATCACCATCGCGCTCATCATCTACCTCGAACGAGCGACGGTTGGGGTTCTCGTCCCTTCGTCTTCGGGTAGAGTTCTGACTCTTTCCTGAGCGGCACACTCTTTGGATATGGCCTCATTTCCCGCATTTTCGGCATGTTTCATTCCTGAAGTAACACTCGGCTGACTCGTGTGTACTACCCCCACATCGATAACACTGAGATTTTGATTTGACATCATCTTTCCCTTTAGGAACTCCTTCGCTATCCTTGTTTATTTTGTTGACTTAAGACTCTTTATTAATGTTACCCTGCAATTCTAGTGTGTCTTTCGCTGCCGCTTCCATTGCTAAGGCAATTTCTGACGCTTTGGCCAATGACAAATCTGGCTCGGAGGGCAGCCGTTTCTGGATAAGTTCATTGTGTAGTCCACACATTAGTCTATCTCTTGACGCGTCATCCAAGTTAGTTCCGAATTCACAATACAGTGACAATTTCTTTAATTCAGCAAGGTAAGAACTTACGGTTTCACCTTCGAGTTGGTTCCTTTTGTGAAAGCGGAATCGCTCTGCTATGAGCAGTGGTCTCGGTGAGAGATGCTTCTGTAGTGTTTCTACGATAGTCTTGAAAGACAGGCTGGATGGCTTGGCTGGGGCGGCCAAATTGCTTAGTGATCCATACGTTTTGTTTCCCATTAAGCTTAGCATTACGGCCACTTGCTTGTTGTCCTTGATTTCGTTGGCGATGAAGTATTGCTCTATACGTTCCACATAGGCGTTCCAATTGTCGTTCGTTTCGTCAAACGCTTCAATCTTTCCAATCGACATAGTGGCGAAAGCTCGAAATTTCTCTGGTTGCTGCATAGGATCTAAATCCTCGTCGCCAATCTGTTGTGTCTCGCGGAATTGAATGAATCAAACTAGTACAACACAACAAGGTTTAATCAAACATGGCGGTTTACATTCAACGACAGGCGCACATGGCATGCTTGTTAGCGACGTTTCACATCCAAGCTTTCACGAATGATATTCCCCTTGTAAAACGAAGTGAAAACACTCCTCCATCGCTTCGGCTCCGGCTCACTCAGGCACTAAGTTGCAACTTCAATTCCGGTTCTCCATGACTCCATCAATCTCCTTCTCACAAGGTAAATTTTGATTCGCATAAAAACGTCCTCCAATTATTCGCTTCGTTAGTATCGAGCACTGTACGATAATCTACGCAATATGAAAGAAGTTACAAGTGATATCTTTAACATGATTTGGTACTCGTAACGAGGAAAAAGGGGCGAGCGCTAAGGGAGAAAAAAAGTTTTAAACAATTTTCGACTTACAATATTCTCAAGAAATACATCTTTTCATGGCCAAAGCCACACCGTGAGCATATTTACCTCTTATCAACCGAGCTAGGGGGCATTACTTAAGTTACCGACCTAGTTTTTTCTGCTCGAATTTATGGCCCATAAGCAGGCGGGCGATAAGTCCAAGCGGTAAACACGAGATTCTGTAACTCATATTAGTCAGATATTTATCATATCTCTGGATTTAAATAAAGATGCAAGATTTCGATTCACTCAAACTATTGAATTTAGCGAGCTGTACAGTGAAACACGGTCTGCCTAATTGACTGTACAAGGGTTTCGAGTAGCCGAAAACTGAAGAGTACAGTTCAATAAATAACACAACAAGTTTAATTTCAATACGGAGTCGAGCACATGGCAAAAGGCGCCTTACGCGCATTCGCAACCGTGCCTAGATATAATGAGACATGACAGTAGCACTTGTAATAACTGAGAGATTTCATAAACCACAAATCACACGAATAGTAATTGACTCAATCCAGAAAAATAATTAAACACTCCATATCTAATGGCTTCGCGAAAATGCATTGCCCAATTCGTTTTAAAGTGCAGTAAGCCTTTTATCCTTTGCAAGTTTTACTTCGCGGTGGCAGGAAAGGGAGAGGGGGTGAATTGCTCTTAAACGCTCTGTATATGAGCTGTTAATGGAAGTTAACTTACAATCGTGAGCATAACTCTGGACATAATGCCATGTTTTAGGGGTAACGATCGAAACCTCAACGCTCGAATTTTTGAGCGTAATCTATCTCACCCTATCAAGTTCTCAAATCTATTGATTGTACTCACAACTACAATGAAAACGACAAAAAACGTAAATTTGGATGTTACTTTTGTACTTATTTCTACAGGCTCGCATTTGGCTATTAATTAAGTGAAACACAGTTCATTAATAGGGAATCAATTTCAATGCTTTAATCAGCGGATTCCCTTGGCAGCCAACTCCTCTTTGACTCTCCTCAGGTAATCTGGGTCGGGATATCCAAACCTTTAAATAAAGAAATTGAAAACGTTAATTATGAGTGCAAGTAAGGAACAGTCCAATTTTTACTAAAAATTCGTTGTTTTTAGTTCAAAAGTATAATAGCTATACTCCAAACGTTAGGTAAAATTCGATAAATTTTGCGAAGATAAACTAATGCAAAAAGATAATCTGTTGACTAATACCATGCAGTCATTTAACTCTAAGAAACATGTGGTCTTAAATCATTTGAATGACCGACGACGCCAGAAAACCTCACATACTTTTGAAACGCGCGTTTTCTGATTTGTCAGTGGAGGAGGCCATAAAAAAAAGATCAAACACTAAAACTTTTTTTAACTCAGGTTTGTTCTAATAACTCAGTGTATGGGTATAGATGTAGTATCTGTGAGAAGTGATTCCTGGCACTGTCTGAAAAAAATCACCGTAGCTACAATAATCAAGACATCAAAAGCATTTAGAGATTAATATGTTAACAAGGAAATTCACAAATTTAAGAGAAAACAACTAACTTCTTCTTTCCTGATTCAAGCATCAACTGATTAATTACTGATAAATGGATTAGTAATTATGTTTTTCTCCTACTTACGCAAACGTTCCTCCACTCAAGCTAGTCTTGTGATGAATATCATTCCAAGTTATTTGATTTGGAAGGCCTGTAGTATTTGATGTACCAATGGTAAACACCAAGCGAGCATCAAAGGCTCTCCTCAGAAGCTGTAACACCTCTCTTCCTTCACGCGTGTCGGGAAGATATGCCTGGCGAGTCGTGCCTCCAAACCGCTGCCCGGGGTGAGGATGTTCCTTTCCTTGAATTCCTGACCGAAAGTGGTAATCAATGACTATCGTGCCGTGACCTTCAGAGGGAAAGATAAGTTTGATAAATTTGTTGTCAACGTAAACGAGACAATTATACCATCTTCAGACGCAAAAGTATTGAAATGTTAACGGTATTTATTTTAACCCAGGGGTTTATCTTTAGGGAATAAATACCAGAAACATTGTCGACTTAAAAAAAGATTATGTAAAATCCAAGTTCACGACCTTTTCCCCGACGGAACACTCAGCTACTACTCCCCCTTTAGGACACTGATGGAGAAGCTGAGCAAGGCGTTTAAGGCACACGGCAAACGATATAAATTAAACTTGTTGCTGGCTAGTTTAAGCCGTTTCTATTCTTGATTTACAATATTTGACTGATACATCAACTGCGGTAGGAAAAAATTGTACTCGTGGTCTGTCAATTTTGGTTTATTAAACCATCTCACTGCTCTAAAGTTTTCCATAAGGGATTTATAAGCAAATTTCCAATTTTGTCTCCACTACACAACAAATAACACAGTAGTGTACACCAAATAAGTTCATTTAGGGAAGCCTGCCGAGAACCAACCCGAGGCATATATAGCCCGGGGAATGCATACATACATATCTTTGCAACATATACAATCCTGATACACAGTCAATTCCTTACACATTAAAAAAAGGTATACATTACTAACATGCAAACTTCACCAAGTCTGGATTAACAGAGATGGGCAACCGCTTACAAGGACATAACTACGGTTATACAGAGGCCAGAAAAAACCTGCCAGAAAAAACCCCTTTGGGGAAAAACATGACAGGAAATCTGGGTAGGAACCATGGCCCAAACTCAGAGCAGTTGGCAGCCCATCCTACGAGGCTTCACAGCTAAAGAAAATATGTTTTCAAACTAAAATAAATTTGTCATCAGCCAGAGGTGAACGGTTGGTTCTGAGGCCTAGATGGACATCACGTGCTATACTTTCCCTTATATACCACTGCATCATTACCCATGATGCTCGGGCCTAAGGCCCAGGCCTTGTCGTATCTCGTGCCGACAAAATATCTATTTCTGCCTTATTCGCAGACTCATTCGTTAGAAATACCATTTAATTTCATATCAGCGGATTTTAGCCATCTTTCTACGGCGTTGATACGAGCAAAATCAGAGTTAATTTTAGCGATTTGCCGTCGCCATAAACATCAATAATGTCTCATTGGAGAGATGTCGAGATTATCGTCGTTTTAAAACTGGGCCACTCTCATACAATTACATACGTAAAAAGGTAACTGCATATTAAAATCATTAAATCATTACCCCAAAAGCTTGTTAGTACATTTAACGTAGTCATCATATTCACATCTCTGGATTAAGACAATACATTGCATCACAATATATAGGACTAGATACCTCATATTTGTAGTGCTTCATAGTTCACTTTTTTCAAGCTGTCACTGAGCAAAACGATTATGCTTCAAAAAGTGTGATATTCAGCTGTTTTAAAAGCAAGTGGTAAGGTGTGATTGTTTATTTACCTTCATATCCTGGAACACTGTAACGATCAGTACGAAATCGCATCATTCCAGGGGGCTGGTTTCCTTGAAGGACACCTTGCGGTTCTTGGCACACTGGGCATTTATTGTATGTATCCAAAGCTTCTTTAAGGCACTTCGAACAGAAGGTGTGTCTGCACTTCAATTTCCGTGGTTTCGTTAAAGTATCAAGACAGATGGGACAGGGATCTAATAGCGAAGATAAACGAGAAATGCTTTTAGATTTGTCTGGGAATACTAAAGGTCCTCTCGTTTCCACACCTTAACACACAAAGACCTTTACAGTTAAATTTTCATGTTGCGTTAGTTCTTAATGAAAACTCATACATTGCAATTCATTTAAACTAATAGCATCACTGTGTTTATCTCTCTGGTTTATATCCTACCACATTTGGGTACAACTGGCAAGATTCTGCTGAGAAGACACGTTTTGACAAAAAACCTTACTATTCCTTAGTCAGTGATTCTATCTAAATATATCTTTTATACAACATTCAGCTTCACTCAGCCTACCCGCTTTGCCTTTCTTACCATCTTCTTTATCGTCCGTCTGAGCTTTATTTTCCTCAGGGGGAAGGGTAAGCCCCATCTTCTTTTCTTCAGAATTAAAATCTGTAGATTTCTTAACAGCGCCACTGTAAGAAAATTTTGGAAGCAATGGACAACCAGAAGCCGTGACATCCAGCGGGTGATAAAAATTGGTTTCGAAATAACGGCTTCCAGATACATCCCTAGACTTTGCTAATGCACCATTAGCCTCGGAACTCTTGTCCTTGTTTCTGTCAAGATTTCGTTTTGGCGGGAGCATGTATGAATCAGTAACTTCAGCACCAGTTGCACTCCAGTGGAAAGATCCACGTCCGTCGTCTCCCGTGTGGCCATATCGAGAGATGAGCTCTTTCCTGAATGCTTGAAAAGAGGCATCATCCATGTTCACGAATCTGACGTCAGTGATTGTTTTCTTCTTAGGATCTCCTTGTCGAATAAATTCGTCGACGACATCAAACATCACCTCAGCACAGGCGTCTTTGGGCATGCCATTAGTGCCAGAACCGATCGCTGGTAAAGCAATGGAGGTCAACTTCTCTTCTTGTGCGATTCTCAAACTGTTAAGACAGGCTCGGCGGAGAACTTCTTTACTCTGGGTTAATCCTATTCTTCGATACTCTGGCCCTACGGCATGAACGACCAACTTACACGGTAAATCTCCTGATTTAGTTGACACTGCTTGACCTTCCTTCAAAGATCTGCGCTTCTTAATAATCTTGTTCGATTCTTGGCTAATTAATTTTCCACCTTTGTCAAGAATGGCCTTGGCGAGACCACTATCGTGTCGAAGAGTTTCATTGGAGGCGTTAACAATAGCATCAACCTTTTCGGTAGTAAGGTCTCCTCGAGAGACTGAAACTTTGACCCTCCCTATAAAGCCACGAAGAAAGCATGTATGCTTAGAACTACAACACTATTTTTTCTCTTTCATGCGACATCAACTGAAAGCTATTTTTCAAAACAGGCCTACTTGAAATCACCTCTAGAAGCTGACAAACGAAGCAACTAGTAGAGCGTCTTTTGAATAAATGTTTTTAGTGAAAATGAGTAAACATATGCGGAATGGAGGTTGTTTCACTTATCCTATAATTGCTCTTTGCATGGATACGCAGAGCAAAATAGAAAATACCGTAATAATTCGATTTAGCGTCCTGGACGCTAGTTGGAAATAGGCGCTTACTTCTTTTCTGGGAAACAGCAGAATGTGCGAAACAAAGCTTTGATGTCTATCTAAAGATGAAGAGTAGAAGAAGCTGTATAGTGAATATTCGCATACTAAAGGTAGGGAATGTAGATTTTATTCTAGCAGTGCTAACGCTGAAAAAGAATTGGGGGCGCTTATTGGAATGAGGGTCCGTACGCAATAGGGGCGCTTACTAGAGAGAGGCGCTTAGTGGAACATACTCACCTAGGTAGGCTTCCAGTACATCTTTACTTAAGGTGACCCTGGCAAACTCTGATGGGTTCGCATCTATTGCCCTTTCGCCGTCATTCCTCAGATCGCCAAGAAGCTTCCCCTTTTTGATTGCGTTAACGTAATATTAGTTGAAAAGAAGATAAAGTAAATTCTGAGAAGAGATCTGGGGGAACTTTGGTGATTCAGAGAAAAAATTACTCTGGCAATACGGCTTTTACTTGGGGTAAAAGAGCAAAGAACACGTTATCACAATGGAATGTGCTGCACATAAAATTAATCACCTTTGAGTAACTTTGAAACGTGAAAATGTGTAATATGTAATTAGCTTACTCGCGTGTATCTCAACTTGGTGGTGTGGAAGAGTGGAAATCTGCAAATACGCAAATTAGTCTTTACCAAACTCACTTTTATCTTAACTTGGTAGTGTGGTAGTGTGAAAGTGTGGAAGTTTGGAAATTTTGGAAATATGCAAATGAGTCCATCTTACTCGCATTTATCTCAACTTGGTAGTGTGGAAGTTCGAAAATCTGGAAATAAGCAAATGAGTCTTTGCCTCCCCCACGTTTATCTTAATTTGGTAGTGTGGAAGTTTGGAAGTTCGAAAATATGCTGATATGCAAATATGCAAATGAGTCCATCTTACTCACATTTATCTCAACTTGGTAGTGTGATGGTGTGGAAGTTCGGAAATCTGGAAATAAGCAAACGAGTCTTTACCTTACTCACATTTATCTTAATTTGGTAGTGTGGTAGTTTGGAAGTTTGGAACTCTAGAAATATGCAAATTTGTCTATCTTGGATTTCGTACTTTACGTAAATATCAGGTTTGGAACGCATCAAAACTGATTTGAACACCCCATTCAGTGAGCGATCAAGTTTTCCATCACTATATTTTAAACAATAGAACCTCTGTTTATGGGTAATTTTATATTATGTACTCTGATGTTGAAAAAATTTTATTCAGCCATGATAAGAAATCACCAGTGGCGATAATTTTACCTTTCACAGCTGTTTTGGAGTAAATTAATTGCGAGAAGGTTCTCTTTACAACTTTTGTTTTTTTTCGCTTTTAACAGAGGCATTTATAAGAACTATGCTTTAAAAGCCCATTGCATACACTCTGAATGAGTCTTGATCAATGCATGGGGCTACCAGTTGTGTTGCATCTGAATCAACAAACATGCATAAAATGACAGTGCCTCACAATCCATGGCTCGTTTTAATTTCTTGTAGTGATTTTTATATGAACACTTCAGTAAATTACACAGCATGACTCTGATCTTATGCTTCTTTTGTTCAACATGTAACTCTTTTCTTTCCTCATTTTTGTGGCCAAATTGTTTTCTGATCTTGTAATCAGGAGTTTGTTGGTGAAAATTGCCATCATTAGTCATACTGGTGAGCTACACACTCAATCTTTCAACGCGATCGACTGCTGTATTTACTTCACAAAGATAACTAAACAAAAATTAGTATACTTTGTTTCAATCCCAGTCACTTCTCACCCCATCATTTGACTGGGTTTTCCACTAATGTGTGACTCTCTTTTAGTAGAATGTCACTTTTTAAAATTCAGGCAGCAACTAGCAATTTACATTATTGGGAATTGATTTGGAAGTAATGATTTACCAAGTTGCTTAGAAAAATTTTGTTTCAATTTTTTTTGTGAATGAGACAGATTTATTTACATCCATAAGGGACCATTAACCCTTTAACTCCCAAGATCTCATTAGTAATTCTCCCTACTGTCTGCCATAAAGTACTCATGATTTCAATTTAGAGAATTTTGTATTGGATCAACTTGTAGTCCCCTAAATAAGTTTTTTTTTCTATTCTCCTCACTTGTCTGCTTGATTCTGTGTTGATACTGTAAGGAGAAATTCTGTCTTTGTCACCCATGGGAGTTAAAGGGTTAAATGCCACAGCAGGTAATGAAGTCTGAACTAAATTAAGTGAAAAATATTGTAATATCAACAAACTATCTATAAACATGAGTTAAACACATTTCATTCAGGCATACTGTTTTTTAAAAACATTACAAGCTGAATAAATTTATCTCAAATTTTTTTTATTTTGAAGTGGCTCTATTTAAGGAAGAGATGATTTTCAGCCATGTCTCTCTTATTATTCCGGTCAAGAGTTGAACAAATCAAATAAAATGCAACTTGACTCCTATAGAACTCCCAAAACAAAGTCTCTTGATGAAATATGAATTGAGTACAGCAAGAAGCCCTTTTATTTCAACACTTTGTTTCAGGAGTTCTTAAAAAAAATCAAAACTAATTTTTGTATAGTTATCTTTGTTAAGTGAATACAGCACCCTTGTTGAAAGATTGAGTGTGCAGCTCACCAGTATGACTAATGATGGCAACATTCACCAACAAACTCCTGTTTACAAGATCAGTATAAACAATTTGGCCACAAAAATGAGGAAAAAAAAAAGAGTTACATGTTGAACAAAATAGCATAAGATCAGAGACATGCGGTGTAATTTACTGAAGTGTTTATATGCACATCACTACAAGAAATTAAAATGAGCCATGAATTGTGAGGCAATGTCATTTTACACGTTTGTTAATTCAGATGCAACACAACTGGTAGCCACATGCATTGATCCAGACTCATTCAGATTGTAAGCACTAGGCTCTTAAAGCATAGCTCTTATAAATGCCTTTGTTAAAAGTGAAAAAAGAAAGTTGTAAAGATAGCTTTCTCATAATTAATTTACTTTAGAACAACTGTGAAAAGTAAAATTATTGCCATCCCTAATTTCTTACCATTGCCAGATAGAATCTGTCCAACTTCAGGGTACATAACTCAAAATTACCCTAAATAAAGATTCCATTGTTCAAAATATAGTAGTAGAGTACTTGATCTATCATTAGACAGGGTGTTCAAATCAGTTTTGATGCATTCCAAGCCTTATCTTTATGTGAAGTTCAAAATCCAAGATGGTGGACGATTGACTAATTTGCAGATAGGCTAGTTTGCATATTTCCAGACTTCCACACTTCCACACTTCCACACTTCCACACTACCCAGTTGAGATAAAAGTGAGTAAGATGGACTCATTTGCATATTTCCAGATTTTCGATCTTCCAAACTTAAGATAAATGTGAGTAAGGTAGAGACTTATTTGCATATTTCCAGATTTTAACACTTCCACACTAGCAAGTTAAGATACATGCGAGTAGAATAATCACTCATCACACATTTTCTACTAAAGGTTACTCTAAAGTGATTGATTTTATGAGCAGCACATTCCATTGTGATGACATTTTCTGTGTTCTTCTACCCCAAGTAAAAGCTGGCAATATTTAATTCATTCCACCTAGGTAGCCATAAAAAGCTGTAAGAAATAACCTTTGTTCAAATATTTCAGACTCATTTAGTCAATACTTATATGAATACTGCTCCTCTATTTTGAATAACATGGAAGTTTTCAGAAAAGAAAGATGATACCTGGCAAAATGTCTGTGTTTCTCTCTTTCTCACTCGTAATCTAAATGGACTGTCCTCGATGGCTTCACCTCGGACTGTAACAGATATTTTGAAGTCATCTGCTGTTTCACTTCTGTACTTTACTAGATATTGTCCATTTTTTAAGTCAGTCAAGCTGGCTGTCAAAATTGCTTTGGTACTAATGGAGATTATATCAACATTGACCTGATCGATTTCGCTATAAACTATTCGTCCCCTGATATCTTTTGTAATCACAGTAAATGTGCTCTCCTCTCCTTCAATGGCCTCATTCAAACCACGACCTTCTGCAACAGATACCGTAGGTTCTGTAACCGTCCTTATCAGCCTTCCAGGTCCGTCTTTCAAGCAACTGAAATCATTTGAACTGTACGCAACTTCAGGGAAGACCAGTGTGGACTCAAAGGGTACGGAAAGTTCTTGCAGCCTGTTCTCCAACATTTCTTCAACATTTAAAATTTCTGGTAGATTCCTACGAGAGAGAATTTCCTCGCCAAAATGAATGCTGCTTTCGATTTCTACCACTCTTCCATCCAAGCTCGACATCTGGTTTGAAAATTCAGCTTCAAACGCGTCTTTCTGCTTCATTAACTTTTCTGTTATGTCTGCTTCATGCTTGCGAATAAATGTAATCCACTGTTCTGCAACCATACGTACACTGTTTGTTGCTCGCTCAAAGCTGTTCATTACCTTGATTCTACGTTTCTCTAGAGATTCCTTTTTGTTTCTCAATTGAGACCCGTTTACCTGAACCTCTCGTATCTTATTCTCAATTTCAGTTGTCTTATTTTCTAGTCCTTTCTCAAGCGAAATTTTCTTGTGGTCGTCGTGGTCTAATATGGCGCAGTCACGACAAATGCAAATTTGACATGCGTCGCAGAAAAATCTAAATTCGTCATCATGTTCTGTGCAGACGTTCGTTCTACGAGAGTAGTCTTCTACATCACTGGACTGAAGTTGTCCAATTTCCTTAAGTTGATGGCCTCTGAAATCCTTCCACTTCTTGTGCAGTGCAGCGCATTCTTCGCACAGTAAACAGTTGCAATTGGAGCAGTAAAACCTCAGCGATTTTTGTTCGTCGCATTTCCCGCAACATGATGATTCTTCTTGGCCAGTGTATGCCTCCACAATTTCCACCATTTGTTTGTAAAACAGGTTGGACGGAAGACTGTCGATGTCATTGTTAGGGCACTCAGTTACTGTCCGGCAAGAAGGACAACTTAAGGCTCCTGTGCGATGTTGTCGAAGCCATCCGTCCAAGCATGATTTGCAAAAGGTATGAAGACATTTCAGAATTTTCGGTTGCTTGTTAGCGCCGAATTGCTCCTGACACAGTGGGCATTCTATTTCCTTTTTCACGTCTTCGAAAAAACTTTTAGCTTGGGCCATGACTTCTTTAGAAGCAAAATAGAAAACGTAGACACATACGCGAAAGGCCCTTACAACTCAAGCGTAAATTGGTATAAAGCGGAAGTATACTTGCCGTCATGTGATAACAATTGTAACATATCAACACTCGACCGCTATTTTGGAGTTCAACAACACACGTGTTTTATTTCATGCTGTGCCTACAAGAGGTCAGCGGTATACATAACATCCCCCCTTCCCTCTCTTGATAATATCAACAACAACAACAACAACAACAAATATATATATATGTTAACTGAACGGAAACAGAAAGTGTTTGCACAATTAACAGTGTCTGTTATTACTATGTTTTCAACGCCTGTCCAACTCTTCAAATTAATTATAGGTCTAGTTTCACTGGCTTCTTGACTTGTCTGCCACTTCGAGTTGTGTACAGGGTCGAGCCCCTAGTCGCTGCTTCTTCAGGTGACGGCGGTATCTTTCTTGCTGGGCTTTTCCTTGTGACTGACTGGTCTGACTGGTAATCTAATGGTAAAGTAAGTAAGTAAGTAAGTAAGTAAGTAAGTAAGTAAGTTTATTAAATCTCCACCCAGTGGCTCTTCCGATTTAATTTACAATAATTGGAAATCGAATAAAACTACCTATAAAAGTTACAATAATATCATGATAAAGAAACAAATACTAATAAATAACTAACATATTCTTAAAATTCTATACCTAAAAAAGACTCCTACGGACTGTCATATATTTCGCGCTTTACTGCACGCTTGAAAACTGAGAGTGTTGCGCTATTTTTCGTTTCTTCACTTAGATGAGAATTCCAGGTAGTGATTGCTCTATAACTAAAAGACCTCTGTTCTGTGGCTGTCCTACAAAAGGGTACAACTAAGTTGTCTCTAGATCTAGTATTGTAGCTGTGGATAGCTGATCTTTTGTTGACGTAACACTCTAAATATGGTGGTGCAAGGCCATTGAATATTTTGTATAGCATCGTAACATCACGCACTAATAACTGGTTCTTATAGAAGGCCAACACAGTGCCCGCAGCACTGATGAGATGTGATCAAACTTCTTGCTGTTTGTCAACATACGGGCAGCAAAGTTTTGTACAAGTTGCAATTTGTTTATGTTGTGCACAAACGTTCCAGACCAAACTGTCGAGCAATAAAAGAGTTTACAAAAAAATAGACAATTCAGAATGGTGGTAAGTACTGATTTGGAAAACAAGTGCCTAGCTCTGCTTATCTGGCATAGGGTAGAAATAAGAGACGAGGTCAGGATGTTAACGTGTTCATTAAAAGTAAGGTTCGAGTCTAATATTATACCCATTATACCCAGGTCTTTGACTGAGGACACAGGAATAAAGTGTTGCCCAAGAAAGGGGACTCTGATATCAGGAACCCCATTTAAAAGCTGTTTCGTTCCAAAAAGAATAAGTTTAGTTTTGTCTGGATTAATAAGCAACTTATTCGTACAGCACCAGGAGGCAATAAGTCAGAGATCTTCCGAGACTTTTGCAAGGCAGGAGTCAATATTATTCGATGAACACGAAAGATAAATCTTTGTGTCATCAACATATGACGTTACGCTTGAAAACTTAACAACGGACGGTAGGTCGTTCATGTAAAGGCTGAACATAAGAGGCCCTAGAATGGACCCCTGTGGTTCGCCATGTGTGACAGTTAACTCACTAGAGCGAGATGTACCGAGTCATGTTGACTGCATTCAGTTTTTAAGATAGCTCTCAAACCACTTTGACGCTTCATTTGACGAACCGAGCCCTTTCAGCTTGGTGAGGAGAGTTCTATGACATATGCTGTCAAAAGCCTTGCTCAAGTCGATTAGGACCATAGCCGTGATCTCCTTTTTATCCATCGCTTTATATATATGACCGGTGACAAGCAAACTCAGTGTTTCAGTAGAATGGTGTTTACGGTTTCCGCTTTGATGACAGGTGAGGTTGCCTTGTTGAGTCAAATAATCAGTAAACTGATTCAGGGCGATCTTTTCGGTCACTTTAGAAAGTACAGGCAATAATGAAATAGGGCGATTGTTACTAGGAATCTCGTGATCACCATCTTTAAGATGTGGCACTACTTCCGACTTCTTCCAGGCCTTAGGGAAACAGAGTTGCTAAAAGAAGAGTTTATCAATGCAGTTAGAGTTGGTAATATATTTAACAGCTTTATTGGGTACGTCTACATGGATAGACATACGCCGAAAGGGTCAAATTAACGTCTCCTACCCCAAAACCCTGCAGGAGACGGGACCTCCAGCTTAACGTCTTATCCGAGAAGACGAAGCAAGGTGAGTGAAGCGACTTGCTTAAGGCCACAACGTAGTGCCCCATCCAGGACTCGAACCCAGGCCGTCCGACCCAGAGTCCAGCGCTCTGACCACTGGGCCACTCACGCCTAAATATATGGTAAACAGTCCTTGATCACAAACACTGGAATTCTGTCATAGCTTGGAGCTTTATTAGAAGGCATAGCCATAATCACTTTTTGCACATCTTCACTGGTTATTGCTTTGAAGTCAAACAGTTCATCACAATGAGTTGAACCGAGATAAGGCCGTGAAGGCGAGCGAGCTCCGCAGAGTCATCGGCGGCCTTCTGTCCCACAGATATAAAGAAGCGATTGAATTCATTAGCGAGTGCATCTGTGTCCTTGGTAAAGCTTGGGCGGCCTGATTTATTTGGGTGGGCACTGCGAATAGTTTTCCACATTGCCCCGCTGTTTTTCCTATTTTCACAGATTTGATGATTGTAGTGCTCTCGTTCCGCCTTCCGTAAAACAAATTTAACTATATTTCGCAGCTCCTTAAAAGCCTCCCAATCTTCCCTCGTCCCAGTCCTTCTCGCTCTTTTGTGAAGGTGGTCTCTCGCCTTCATCAAATCCCTTATGTCGTGATTAATGGGTTTGGTTTATGTCGTATTTTCACCGTTTTAACCGGAGCATGGTCGTCCAGACACGCCAACAGCAAGTCATTAAATGCATAGAGTCTGTTATCAACGGATTCGTCTATCAGGTTCATAGTATCCCATGGGATGTGCGCGATGTCATTTGCAAACTGATCGGCTTTATAATTCCGAAAACTACGTGTGACGATATAGGTTGGGTCTTGCTTGGTTGATCTTAAATTAATAACAGCATGAACCAGAAAATGATCACTTATAGTTATTTCAAGAACACCGCTCGACTTGACAAGGACAGGGTCAGAGACCAAGATGACATCCAATAAGGAGTGTAAGTTCTCAGTCACGCGAGTTGGCTTGTCTGTAAGCTGTGTCGCATTTACAGTTGCAAAAAACGACAGCAATGCTTCTCCCCTCGGATTGTTTGAAAGAAGGTCACAGTTTAAGTCGCCCGTTAGCACAATGTCCTTGTTGCGTGATAACGCTTCGATGTACTTTGGGAGCAGTTCATTCTCTAGGCATGCAGTTCCAATTTCCGGGGGTCTGTAAACAATACAAACCAGCAATGAACGAAGCTTCTTATTTTGAACTTGAATCCACAACTGGTGTAGGCCGGATTCGGATATTTCCGTGAGATCCTTCAGGACTTTTACCTTCAGAGTAGATTTTACGTAAGCACATACACCGGCACCTGCTTTTCCAAGGCGATCAAGTCTAAAGACCTTGTATCCCGGGATTTCGACAACACTGTTGGTCACGGAAGAGTTAAACCAGGTCTCTGAGATGGTTAAAATATCAAAATCACGTTCCAAGGCTAACTCCTTCGTTTCAGTGAAGTGTTGTCTACATTTGAGAAGCTCTGCGTTAAGATGGGCTATTTCCAAGAGCTTGTTTTGGTTTTTATGCACCGTTGATTGTGCATTCTTTGTCAATTGTATTCTATTACAATTTGCGCTCACGTGTCCAACTGAGTCAGGGATGCGACGAGTCTGTCGATTCCCATGAATAACAGCAATCCTACTGCTAGTGGTATCTGGACCTGGTAATGGATGGATGTCACCGCTTAGTGAAATACACAGTTTCATTAAGTTAAACCAGCACAAGAGTTAGGATAATATGAAATTCTTTGTTTAAAATATTTTTGCCGCGTATCAGTGAACCGGTACGTTGAGCGACCGCACCGCCAAAGAGAAACAAAAGGCTCAGGAGTGGTATTTTGAACCCTTACAAAGGATGGCCGTTCACAAGGCAGATTTCCACGGGCGAAGCTGGTCCATAACTCATCTGAATTGCAAAAACCTCCAAAAGCATGTCTGGTAAGCGAAGAGTAGATCGAAATAACACTTTTTTCTTGAATATACTGCGCAAAGCCTCTAGAAAACTCCAGTCCACGACGTCCTACAATGTTCCCATAGGTGTTAAGCTCAGTCTGTCTGCATAACGTAGAGCTTGAGATGAGAAAATAGATCAAAAGTGGAGAGCACAAAAGGCCGTGTCAAGCAGTCATTATGCAAATGAAAGAGTGCCACCCAAATGGTAGCTTCTCCATACGTGTGTCTGGCATGGGTGGTGGCACTGCATGCGGCACTACACGTGGTTTCTCAGGATCTGTCTCTGCCTCCTCGATGTTTGCATGACAGCTCTGATACCCTGCATTTGACTTGGGGGAATCTGTTCTTAGCGCCACTCTATTTCGTCTGATTCTTCGGCCCCCTACATCGACTATGTAATATCTGGGTGATGTATGTTGTTGCACAACTGTCGCTGCTTTCCATTCCTTTGATCCCGTTTCGGGTTTCACTCTAACAAAATCACCAGGCTTAAGCGGGGGTAACTCTTTACTACTTCGGCGATCATGATAGTATTTCAGCTTCTCTTTGCCATACTTCATTCTTGCTCTTATCTCTTTGATGTTGTGTGCCTCAGGCTCTAGCAGACCACAAGCTATCGATAGTGTTGTCCTTAGCCTACGTCCCATGGAGAGTTGAGACGGAGAGAGGTTGATCCCTTGGATTGGGGTTGCTCTGTACTCTAGAAGTGCTTTGTTCTTGTCGTTGTTTTTTCTCCATAGTGATTTTATTGTTTTGACCGCTGCTTCTGCTTCTCCATTTGCACAGGGGTACTTGGGACTCACTAG